GCGTCTTGACATTACAGTAGGTGCGTCAGCTACGACTTCTGGCAGTACAGCAGCTGGTGTGGCAGCAACGGTCTGGATAGGTGAGGCAGCATCGGTTTGGGCAATCAAGACAGCGTTGTGCTATCCAGGGGTCTTAGTTGTAGCATGAAAACCCCAATCGAGATGTATTTGGCGCCAAGCATGCATGGCTGCGGTAGCGGCAGCTATAAGTTTCCTCGGTCGCGGTAGATACGCATCCCATACCGCCCCGTTTCTTGCTCTCAAAATATAATATAAGATTGCAACTGCGTAGATAATCCCATTAGTATCTAGAACATTCAATAGTTCACTAAACCAATCATGAAAAATATGTGTCACACTATTGGGGATTGGAAGGTGGGATTGAGTCTAAATGGAATTTGCATAATCACACATAACCAAAGAGTTCATAGTGTCTTCATGCATGATCCCACACATGGCACAAGTACGATCAACATCCATCCTCTTTATAATCAAATTTTTGGTTGTGGGGAGGATATCATTCAAAGACCTCCATAGAAAGGTTTTCCATTTAGGGGAATTTTGAGCCTCCACAGACTGATCTCGATAGAAAGGTTTTCTATTTCGGGAGATTTTGAGCCTCCATAGACTAAGCCATTTATTAAAAGTGTTTGCCATATCAACATAATTCCCAAATATAATTGCTGATGAGGTATTGGGAGAGGATAATACGGCAAATTATGCCCTGGACTCGTGTCCACAATGAATTGTGGACACGGGCCTAAATCGACGTCGTTTTTCAAAAAAAAAAACGCGTCATTTAGTTTTAAAAAAAAAAAATCGCGCGCGTTTTGTCGTTAACGGCGTTATTATTATTATTATTATTTTTGGATTATGAATGTACAGTTATGCCGTTATGAATGTACAATTATGCAATTATGAAATTATGAATACAGAGCTCTAACATTATGAACTTACAATTATGAACATATATAGTGATAAAATTATGACCATGGAGCTTTAAAATTGTGAATATAGAGCTTCGAAGATTATGAATGAACAGTTATGGAGTTATGAATGTACAGTTATAGAGTTATGAATCTACAGTTATGGAGTTATGAATCTACAGTTATGAGATTATGAATCTACAGTATGAAATTATGAATGTACAGTTATTGATCGAATTATGAACAAAGAGCTCTAACATTATGAACTTACAATTATGAACATATAGTGATAGAATTATGAACATAGAACTCTAAAATTGTGAACATAGAGCTCCAAAAATTATGAATGTACAATTATGGAGTTATGAATGTACACTTATGGAGTTATGAATGTACAATTATAGAGTTATGAACGTACAGTTATGGAGTTATGAATGTACAGTTATTAACATATAGTAATAAAATTATGAACATATACTCCTATAACGAAGCAGTCTGAAATTTAAAAAAAAAAAAAAAAAAATAGATAACAGTGCCTAACGGCATTGTTACCCGTGTCCAGCAAGCATGCTGGACACGGGTCCAACGCATAACGATTGGAATAATACGGATGAGGCTGGAAAAATTCATTCTGCTTTGCAAAAGGATTTGGGCCGAAATAGTTTGGTAGGGGATTCTTGTCCTAAAATTCCCATGGGCTCTAATTTGGGCTTAAAGGAATTGGTCCAAGAGGATGGAATTAATTCTAAGGCTTTGAACCCAAATGCAAAGGCATTTCAATCTTGTAATAAGAATTGGGATATTTGTTTCAATAAAGAGGATAGAACATTAGATAAAATCCAGTTATTGAAGTCCACATCAACCTGTTTGTTGGGTTCAAGGGACTTAGAGGGGTTATTGAGTCCGAGGGTATTATCACAGCTTCATGGGGCGGGTTTGGACTCATATTATGAGCCTAGTGAGGAGTGTTTCAATAGTTATGCTGTGCAACCGAATGTACCATGCGCATGGTGCATACGGTTCAAAACGACGTCGTTTTGATTAAAAACGCGCGTCCCAGTTTAAAAAAAAAAATCAGGTTCGACTCTCAGCAATAGCATTATTGTGGATATATAGTTATGAAATTGTGGATATATAGTTATGAAATTGTGGTTATATAGTTATGAATCTATGGATATTTAGTTCATTCATTGTGGATATTTAGTTCAATCATATATTGTGGATATTTAGTTCATTCATTGTGGATTTTTACTTCATTCATTCATTGTGGATTTTTACTTCATTCATTCACTGTGGATATATAGTTATGAAATTGTGGATATATAGTTATGAAATTGTGGTTATATAGTTATGAATTTATGGATATTTAGTTCATTCATTGTGGATATTTAGTTCAATCATATATTGTGGATATTTAGTTCATTCATTGTGGATTTTTACTTCATTCATTCATTGTAGATTTTTACTTCATTCATTCATTCATTGTGGATTTTTACTTCATTCATTCATTCATTGTGGATTTTTACTTCATTCATTCATTCATTGTTGATTTTTACTTCATTCATTTACTGTGGATATATAGTTATGAAATTGTGGATATATAGTTATGAAATTGTGGTTATATAGTTATGAATTTCTGGATATATAAAAATGCTATTGCCGGGAATCGAACCTGATTTCTTCTTTAAGTGGGACGCGCGTTTTTTTAACCAAAATGGCGCCGTTTTGCAACCGTATGCACCTTGCAAGGTGAATTCGGTTGCACAGCATAATTTGCGGGAGTGTTTCGAGGATGATGGTTATGACGAGTTTGATGAGTATGATGGAGGCTGTCAAGGCGCCGGGGGGCGCAAGGGCGGACTGTCAGGTAGTGGACGTGCGAGGAGGAGGCGCGATTACTATGAGTTTAGCTATCGTTTCTGATTCTTTTGCTTTGTGCTTTGTTTTTTTGAGACATGGTATGGTCCCGTCTCTTTGCTTGTATGTTCTTTTTTGGTGGAATAAAATGTTGGTTTTTTTTTTTTTTTTTTTTTTTTTAAATGTACATTATTTGATAATATACAAAATAATGTATTTTATGTACATAAATAATGTACTTTTTATTTATGCTATAGATAGCTATATGGACCACATATGGTTCACACAATAATGCTCGGTTAGGGATTCGAAACGGAATATCAATTAAATAACTAATATACCTTTATTCAAAATAAAACACATACAAATATATACATACTCACCCACCCTAAAATAACAATTTACAAAACAGAAAAAATTATTATATTATTTCAAAAGCAATTATAAATAAAAAGAGATCAAAACACAAAATAATAGTGTCGAATAATGAAACAATATACTATACAACAATATACTATACAAGGAAACAATATACTATGTGGTCTAATGGTACCCGAGTTAGACTTCCATTTGGAAGATTATGAGTTCGAGCCTCAGTGGAGGTGTTATTGGTTCTTTGTGTTTCAGTAAGTTGATAAAGTATATGAACAGATACTACAATGTAATAGAGTCAGTAGCTTTCAAAAAAAATATATATATATATATTCAAAATTTGAAAGAAAAAAAATCAACTTAGAAATAGCTAGATAAATATAAACAAATGTATGTAACCAGAAACAAGAAGAAAAACATAAACTATATACACAGACATATGAAATTGCAAATAGAAACATATTATCGTACTTTGGTGATGATGAGAAGTGTACTTATATGCAAGATTTTAAAGGCATTTTTAAAATAATAATAGAAAATAGTTGTTAGGAATGGGTTAAGAATAGTTAATACCTAGGGGCGGGGAATAACCTATTGAGTAAAACCCTATTCTTTGTTCTAAGACCCGAATCAAACTGCAGAATAAATCTATTTTACAGAATGATATTTCATTCTTAATGTATGTATTCGTAGTAATTTAAGTTTTGTTTGTGTTCCCTTCTTTCCTTGTATCTAACAACATTATATTTATTCAATGTAACTATTGTGATACCCCCGTTAGATCAGAAACGATTTTTTTTTTTTTTTTGTCATAAATTTTTGTTATTATATTAATAAAAATGCAACATAATTGTCGAATAATTGGTGATCAATATTTTAAAACGCAAAAATTTGTGTGAGACTGTCTCACGGGTTTCAATCTGTAAGACGAGTCGGATATTTGATTAATGATGTTAATGAGCCGACCTATTAATAAAAGATTTGACCCATTAATCAAAGATCATACCTGTCTCACGGATTTAGACACGTGAGACGATCTCACACAAGTGTTTGGGTGAAACATAATTTGGAATTAGGAGAAATGTACTACTAGTACTTAGCTTAAGAAAGGCATTAAACATATGATGTTTAATGCGCAGTAAGCAAAGATTTAACCTCTGTGTTCAGTTGAATTACCATGATGAACATCCTCTCAAATGCTCTGTTGAGTCAGGTCGGGAAGACCCTTAGGGTTGAGATTCAATCTTTTTGGGAAGAAGAAAGGCATTAAACATATAATACGTACAAGACAATGTTGGAGAACGTAAAATACAAAACAAAAGGTTAATTTTCTTAAAAGTTCTACTACATAGACTCCCAAAATTTACTCTCTCATTTATACTCCCTGAGGTGGCAAACCAGGATTGGTTATTTTCATCATGTGGGTCCACTGAAAAGTGTCTACATCAAAAGCATGTGAGAGGGAGTACAAGTTGAGAGTTTAAAATGGGAGTACACCAAGTATTTTCCTTTTCTTAATCAAAGAGGTAACAATATAATTGTGCTCAATTTCTTCTAAGTCCTCCTTGATTTCTTCTTCTTCTGAGTCCTCCTTGGTTTCTTCTTCTTCTTCTGCTTTACAAGCCACTTAATAATTAGTTCTGCCAAAAAAGCAAACCCAATTGTTAATCCAACAACCAATCCGAACCCACATCCAGCAACTGCAAACCTCCAATCAAGCATGGCTTCTTCATTTTCCAAGCTCTCATCCTGTGCTACTGGTACATCATCATCTTCACTGCATTTCCTTGAGAGTACAATTCCACACAATCCTGTATTTCCAATGTAGGAACTATTCGTGAAAGTATTAAATTGGTTACCCAAAGGAATGTGGCCGACTAGTTGGTTGTAAGACATGTTGAATACTTCCAGGAATGTTAGACTGGTGAGTTGTGGAGGAATCGTCCCTGAGAATTTATTCTTTGAGAAATCCAAAGATTCAAGTTGAGATAACTCTCCTAATGATATTGGAATTCACCCATCGAGAACATTTTGTGACAGGTTGAGCACAACTAGTGATTTTAGTTCACCATCTTCCGGAACATTGCCATGGAACTTGTTGTTTGACAGATCCAAAGACACAAATATTGTCAAGATCTTAACCAACACCATCTCATATCCTTTGTTCACGATGGTCACTGAATCATGATAGTATTCATCATGCTCTCCAATGAGGCTAGGTATTGATTTGTTTTCCCCACCCACAGTCATTGCACTCAAACTTTGCAGGAAATATTTAGACAACTTTTCGGTGAAATTATTGGAAGACAAATCAATTATGCGTAAGCTTGGCAGCACAAACTTCGTCCTTGGAATCTCCACCTGACCATAAAACATGTTGTTTCATAAGATCAGAACTTTAAGTGAAGGGAGTTTTTCCAACCAAAATGGGAAAGTATCAGATATCATATTGTTTCCTAAATCAAGAATCTCTAGCATTTTGCAATTGGCCAGTGATCTTGGCAACTTCCCTTTCAATCGATTGCCATTTATATTCAGAGATTGAAGATTATTGTCAGCAAATGTAAAAGTAGAAGGCATTTGATCATATCTGTTTCCTTTCAAGTTCAAAACTGATAGACTTGCGAGCTTGACCAGACACTCCGGGATCAAACCACTCAAATTATTATCTGATACATCAAGAACTTGTAGGTAGCTCATATTGCATATTCCGGATGGAAGAGATCCTTTGATAAGATTTCCATGAAGATAAAGATAAAACACATATAAAGAAATATTTGAGGGAAATTCATCAACAATATATAATATATTGTGAGAGATATTCACAAATTGAAGTTGATGCATCCATATCCAGCTTGGTATTTCACCTTCTATCTTGTTATCAGAAAAGTCAAGAATCTTTAAAGCATTAAGGCCTTTCAAGAACTTGGGGAACTTAGAAATGTTGCAAGAATGCATTGCTAGAGAGTATAGTGACCTGAATGAAGTATTTCCCATAGCTGATGATGGTTCAAGAAAATCTATTGGATTTCCAGAAAGGTCCAACACATTGAGATTGCTGTTGTTCCCCAGCCAACTAGGAACATAACCTTGGATGTGATTATCTGCAAGATTCAGATAAAAAAGATGTACTTGGCGCTTCAGGAAAATCGGGAAGTAAGATAAATTGCACTTCTGTAGATACAAAAACATCAGTTGAGGCAAGTCAAAGCTTCTATCATCATTTTCTTCAATCGTCAAGCTATTGCAAGAGAGATCTAAAGATATCAAGTTCTTGAGATTCTGCAACATCTCTATTTTCACACTACCATTAAAATTGTTAGAAGGCAATGATAAATAAACGAGGTTAGGAAGCTCAAAGATTGATTTAGGTACCACCCCACTCAATTCATTATCATTCAAATACAATTTCTGTAAAACCGAGGAAGATGTATTAGAGAAATCGTCTAGTTCACCACTGAATTTGTTAGCAATGAGGTACAAAGTTGCAAGAGATGGTAGTGTGAAAATAGAAGAGTGAATTCTACCGGTGAGATGATTGGATGACATGCCAAGATACGAGAGATTTGGCACAATTGTACTGTGGAATGGGGTAAAGAACCAGTGAATCTGTTTTCACTAATGTCCAACTTAATAATACTTGTGAGGTTTGCTAGTGACGATGGGACTAAACCCGAGAGATTGCATCTAGAAATATCTAAAACTTTCAGTAACTGAAGATTTCCAATGGAGTCGGGCAATTCTCCATGAAAATTTGTGTCATGAAGTGACAAAATTTGCAAAGAGGTGTGTTTTGGAAACTGTGGAAACTGGCCACTCAGAAGGTTATTATTGGAGATGTCAATGGTTTTCAATTTTGGAAGGAGAAACACATTTTCTGGGAAATCAGAAGGCAGATTGTTATCGCTAAGCTGCAAATAAGACAGAGATTTTAGTGTTGCAAATGAAGGGTGGATTGGACCATTGAGACCACAATCGGACAAACTTAAAACCTGAAGATGAGGCAAAGCAGTAGAGGATAAGGGTTGAGACCAGTTAGAGCCTTGAGCTGAGAGGTCTACACCATCAAGATACACCTCTTTTAAACAAGTCAGATTCATAAAAAAAGATTCAAGGTTTGGTTCACTTAGCTCTACTGGCATCGAGGAAAGATCAAGAGACACCAACCTCGTCAGCATCGAAATCCCCACAGGAATCTGACCAGAGAAAGAGGTGTGCGAGAGGTTAAGGTGGGTCAAATTCCTGAGTTTCTCAAACCCCTGGAACGGAAATGGAGTGTAGTTGAAATTGTTGCAAGAAAGATTGAGAGTTTGAAGATGGTGAAGATTGAAAATGGGAAAAATGTCGCCGGACAGCATACTGAAACTGAGGTCGAGTCCGATGACATAACCGGTGGCAGGGTCACAAAAAACGCCATCCCAACTACAGCAATCTTCCTCCATATTCCATTCCATCATCTTCTTTGAAGAGTTCCTCTCGTCGCATGGATAAAACGGGGATAGTGCGGGTGAATGAAGGTTGAGAGCTCTGAGCTGTGACAGTGCTAACCATTGGTTGTGTACACATTTTTGAGTTGACAACATCAACATGGAAGAAGATGATGATGAAGATGAAGATACAATATTACTCTGCAACACAATAAAAACAAATATGAGAATTAAATGAATGTAAAGTAGTAGTGGTGTCATTTTGTGTATTATATATGTAATATGTTTATGTTGAAGGTGTGGAGATGATATCTAATGTCTGTCCATGCAAGAGAAGTGCTGCATATTATAGGGAGCTAGGTGATATTTTATTTTAAAATTACTTTTTCTTTATCACATACTTTTTTTTGAGATAAAGAATGAATGGGTAAAGAGTGAATAAAAGAAGACCTAAAAGCATGTCTTGGCTATACATTTGTTAAAGTTATCAAAGTAATACTCCGTCATTTTTTTTATAGAAAAAGTTAGTATTAAATTAAATTAAATTTAAAATATTAATAACTTTTAGGTAAAGTATCTTTGAGGAAAGTTGTGTTAACCATCTTTATAATTTGCATAAAGAAGGCCTAAAGCAAGACTGAGCTAAGAGTCATTTTAAATGTAATTTATTTAATATTTTAAACTTTATTATTATTTATATCTTTTTATTTAACATATTTTTTGATGGGCAAAATTGAAATTGTACATATTTAAATTTTTCTTCAGACTCAATTAAATAATCTTTTATAATTTTTTGTATTTTGTTTTTTCAAGAGAATGATTATTTTTGAACGGAGGGAGGAGTGGGTTCTATAATTAATATATACTATACAGTTTTAGTACTCCGTATCAATTATTACTAAACTACAAATTGAAATGACAATAGGCATTTAGAATTGTATGTTATTAACGGTGAGAGTTGTGTTAGTTTGCATGGGAGATTGGGAGCACTTCCTGGGACGGAGCTAGAAAATTTTGTGAGTGGGGTAAAGTTTAAACAACGTTAGAATTGTCAATTATAAAATATCAAACAGTCATAATAAAGTTAAAATACAAAATACATTATAAATTACAATAGAATATTTTTGATATATTACACGATAATCAGAGTTGGAACCAAAAATATACTTAAGTGGGGTGACAATATGAAAATATTTATAACATATGAAACATAATAAATTAGATAAAATAATTTGAATAATACTATATTAATAAATACGTTTTAATTTAAATTTTTTAGTTAGATCAACTTTAAGTTTTTCTAAATTAATTCGAATACAATGAAATATAATATAAACTTGTATATTACATTAATTGAATGATTCATAAAAAGTAGACTAAAAGAATATTTAATTTGTTAATTAGATGATTATAAAAGTAGACTATTTTTTTTTTTTTTTATATTGAGAAGGAATGAAAGAGATAAAATAGACAAGTGAAGATAAGAAAAATGTTGTTAATGAGATTTGAACCTATGATGATAAGTTTTATTAACATTAAAAAATAAAGTTCAACCTTTGCACTGGTTTATGCTAATAAAAACTTTCGGTTTGAGGGGCTATGATATGCAATGCACGAAAGTAAAACAGTATGTAAATAGAGAAAGAGAGGCGAGAGATTTTTATAGTGGTTCGGCCAACTGTGCCTACTCCACTCTTCTTTCACAACTCGTGAAAGGTTTGCACTATCACTCCTAGTACAAACTATGTCAAGCTAGCTTCCTTGATCACTAAGCCGGACAGCTACTTAAAGGTTTTTCAATTCCTAGAGTTTACTCCGCCTCTATCAACGTCTTCTTCAGAGTTGAGGGTTGGTAGAAAAGATTTGCGTGGTTCTCCAACAGGTTGAAGTCTTGACTGATTGGTTGAATGATGGATGATCAACGCGTATAAGATGCAAGACTTCTTCAAGGTTGTGAAGGTGAAATCTGATGGCTCTCTTTGAAACTTCACAACTTGAATCACTGGTTTTCAAAAGCTTGGAAGAGTGAACTTGTATAAGGAGCTTTTGTATGAATATGATCAATTGAGTGAAAAACCAGCACCTTCTACAATGGAGAAGATGGGTATTTATATGAGAGAAAATATTCATCCGTTGGAGGGAGATGTTATTTCAAACCTATGGACCAGTGGGTAATGCCCGGAGAGCTTACTGCATTTAATGCTCCATTTAATGCGGTTGTACCATGTAGTCGTTGGAGGCAAGAACTTCTGCAAGTTTTGTCTTCTAGCTCAGAAAAGAGGTACAATGGCATTTAATGCGTCTTGATTTATGTGCTCCTTGTCCTTGGAATAACTTGTTCCTAGGATGATTCATCAGCTGAGACAAAGACAACATTCCTCTTGAATTACGAGAAGATGAATTGTCTTGGCATTCTAATCATAGACTTAACGTCTCTTCGCGAAAGATTACTTTCGTCCTCATTGGTGGCTGTAAAGGAGTATCTCTCCATTTGTGGCATACCCGAGAGGTAGATTCTCTTGCTGATGTAGCTTCTGCTTCAATCATTCGGTCTTCTTTCGTTCAAGAAGTCTTAACTAAAGGATCATAACTCGGTTTCGTGTGTTTGACTATCTTAACACGAATTACATGGTGAGTTATGGCACCTTTCGTCTAGAACGAAGGTAGCAAAATAAATGATAAAAGTTAGGGGTCTACAATCTAAGTTACATTGGTATTATCAAAATCTTAATACAAAATGTTCCTAACATACTCTACACTTATTAGGAAAAATTATGATACTTTTGAGAATAAAATAAAATATTTTAAAATTAAAATGTAATATTTAGGAGTTAAAGAATTACTTATAATGAAAACAGTTAAGTCCACCAAAGGTCCCTTGTCTCTGGCGGCAGTTCCAAATTTAGTCCCAGACGATCATTTTTGCCATTTAACATCTCAGACTATTATATTTTGGACACTTTTAGTTCTTCTCATGACTTTTTCTATTTTTAGTAAGTGTATTTTTATCTTTTCATATTTTTCTTTTGTTATTTTTCCGGTTTTAACAGGTTTAATTGGTTTAGAACTTTAGGTAACCTCTAATTTTTAATAACCATATTTTTCAACCAGTTTTTAGTATAGTCCTAAACCAATTAAACTGGTTGAAACCGGAAAAATAATAAAAGAAAATTATGAAGAGACAATGGACCTCTAGAAAAATTAACTCTAATGAAAACTATAGGAGTTATAAGAAAAAGTGCAATACTTATAAAATAATATTTACTACAAGAATTAAACTCTAACATTGGTTCGTATGGGTATCCATCCATCAAAAACTTTTTTGAAAAAAAATAAAAAATAAATTACAAATGTTAATATAAATAACTATACCTTATCATCATTAAGTATAGCTATTTGCTTATTTCAACATTATCATAGTCCAGAATTTTTTTTTAAAAAAATCTAAACATTGTACAAAGAAATAATTTTCCAAAGACCACTTGAATTCCTCGAAGTCTCCGAATCAATATCCATACGAAAAAGTGTTAGAGACTTCGTTTTGGGAGGTAGCGGTCCTATCTTCTGCATGGGAGGAGCTTGTACATATATGACGAGGCTAGGAGCTAGAGAGCCAGGAGAAGAGTTTCCGCTGATGGAGTCTGAATAAGTGGAGCAATTTTCGCTTATGGAGGCAGAATATCCTACGCTGTTCGTTTTGTCGATGAAGTCTAAACATAATAGTAGAAGATCAAAATTGATGCAACAAGTCCACAAACAAAAATAGAAACACTAGCATTGAGGAGTCCATGGCGTGGCTTGAAGAAGAAGAAGAAGAAGATGCGTGTAAAGATCCCTCGAATGATGAAAAGAAGAAGAAGAAGATGCACGTACTATAATTTAGCCACTTAATTGATTGCCATTCAAATACAAATACTTTGAAACAGAGGAAGATGGACTATTTAACTTAACAAGCTAATGCGTTGAGCATATATTTACTAAGCAGATAAGAACATGAGACAACCTTGACTTAGGGAATGTAAACACAAAACAAAAGCTATCTTCTCAATTTTAGGACTGTTAACTGCACTTTCTTCATCTTCCTTCTTGCCTGCTTCTTCTTCTGCTACTGCTTTACGACCCATTTAATAATCCAGTCGGCCAAGAATGTAAACCCGATTGTTAACCCAACAACTAACCCAAACCCACATCCAGCAACTGCAAACGTCCAATCAAACATGGCTTCTTCGCCTTCCAAGCTCTCATCTTGTGCTACTGGTACATCATCATCTTCACTGCATTTTCTTGAGAGTGGGGTTCCACACAGTCCTGCATTTCCTATGTAGGAACTATTCGTGAAAGTATTGAATTGGTTCCCCAATGGAATTTGGCCTGCTAGTTGGTTGTAAGACATGTTCAATACTTCTAGAAAAGTTAGACTGGTGAGTTGTGGAGGAATCGTTCCTGAGAATTTATTGTGTGAGAAATCTAAAGACTCTAGTTGAGATAACTCTCCCAATGATGTTGGAATTTTTCCATCAAAGGCATTTCGTGACAAATTGAGCACAATTAGTGATTTTAGTTCACCAATCTCTTCAAGAACATTGCCATGGAACTTGTTGTTTGACAGATCCAAAGAAACAAATATTGTCAAGATCTTAACCAACACCATCTCATATCCTTTGTTCACGATGGTCACTGAATCATGATAGTAATCATCATGCTCTCCGATGAGGCTGGGTAATGATTTGTTTTCCCCAGCCATAGCCATTGCACTCAAGCTCTTTAGGAAATATATAGACAACTCTCCAGTGAAATTGTTGGAGGACAAATCAATTATGCGTAAGCTTGGTAGCACAAACTTTGTCATAGGAATCTCCACCTCACCGTAAAACATGTTTCGCAAGACAAGAACTTTGAGTGAAGGGAGTTTTTCCAACCAAAATGGGAAAGTATCAGATATCATGTTGTTTCCTAAATCAAGAATCTCCAACATTTTGCAATTGACCAGTGATCTTGGCAGCTTGCCTTTCAAGCGATTGCCATTGATATTAAGAGTAGCAAGATTTCTTGCTAATGTAAAATTAAAAGGCATTTGATGGTATTGGTTTCCTTTCAAGTTCAAAACTTTTAACGGTGCATGCTTGAGTAGGCACTCTGGAATCAAACCACTCAAATTATTATCTGACACATCAAGAACATTTAGGTAGCTCATATTGCATATTCCGGATGGAAGAGATCCTTTGATGCTATTTCCATGAAGATAAATAGCAAACACATTT